ATTGTTTTGTATATTGGATATTTTGTATATTTATTTTGGAGGTTATGGTAAAGATAGTGACTCAGGGTTATATAACAAATTAACTGAAAAGAAATTAGACATTCCTGAGTACTAAAGTGAGTACTAAAATTTATTTTCCAATTTTTGTCATTTTTCGGTTACTTTTTATCATGTTATACTTACATTAGACACAATGTTATAAATGCATATGTGTGTATGTGTGAGTAATTTATTTATAGTATCCTTAAAGTGTAATGTATATTAAGATACAACCGATATAGTAGGTAATTGATATAAACCCAACTAAACGCTAAATTGTACATCCCCTAAACAACAATTATATAATGTCAATTGCCACCGAAATTTCTGCTAATAATAAAGATGATTGTCATAAAACGGCCTTCAGTCAGGTGCTGGAGCTGGTAAAAATTGTGGCTGCCGAAAAACAGGGCTTAAATGTTCTATTATATGTGAACATTGTAAAGGTCAATGGCGTACAAATTCAATAGAAATAAAGATTGAAGATTAAGAAAATTGTACTTTTGTTGAAGATATATTCTATCAAAATTTAGAATGGGAAAATGAATAAGAAAATGGAAAAAACAATTTTTTGATATATTTGTCAAATAACTTTATAGTGGAGAAATCCTCCATCGATTACATACTTTGCACTAGTAATGCATACAACTTGTATTTAGGATATAAATAAGGAAATAGGAGATATAGTAACTTTTGTAATAATTCATTAAAATTTTAAAATTAAACACTATCTACAGATTTGCATCAAGGCGTTGTTTTTTGATAATGACTTTAATCACTGTCACATATCATCTATTCTGCACCCAATTATACACACTGTGGGGGGACACTGCTGGTATTTTTTTTAAATAGCGATTAGTTGAAGTAGTAGCAATAGGTTTACTTTAATTATTTCATTATTAATTTTAACAATAGAAGTTATTGAAGATACAGTTATAACTTTATTTGACCTTTTAAGATTTATATCATGAAAGTTATTATCCACCATTGAGTTTACTAGAACAAAACCAATTTTAGACACTTTATGACAATTAATTTTATCATTACCAGAAGTTCTGGCTGGGTTGACAAAAGAGGACATGAAGTAGATGAAATGAAGAGATCAGTGACAATAGGCGAGAGTGTGAATGGGGAGGTAGAAAGTTTTAAGTATTTAGGATCAGTAAAGTAAAAGAGCGGTGGTATTGACGAGATTGTAAGACACAGGATTAAGTGCGGGTGGTTGAAGTAGAGAGAAGCGTCTGGTGTCTTATGCGATAAAAGAATTCCAATGAGGCTAAAAGGTAAATTCTACAACAATGTAGTGAGACCAGCTATGATGTATGGTTCAGAGTGTTGGGCGGTTGATAAGAAAGTAGAGCAGAGAATGAGTGTAGTCGAGATGAAAATGCTTAGTTGGATGAGTGGAGTAACTAAAAAAGATAGAATAAAGAATGAGCATATAAGATGGAGTATAAGTGTAGCGTGGATAAGATGAGAGAAAATAGACTTAGATGATTTAGTCATGTTATGAGGAGAGAAGAATCGGAAGCTGTAAAAATAGTTATAGAAATGAATGTTGAAGAAAGAAGAGGTAGAGGAATACCAAAAAAGAGATTGAGGGATGTTATTGAATGCGATATGAGGACAGCTGATGTGAGCGTAGATGTGGAGATTGTGTCAAGTGGAAGTTAAGGATGAGGGTGGCCGACCCCAAGTAGATGGGATTAAGCCAAAGAAAAAGAAAAAGATTAGCAGAAATTCCGGTGGCAATTGACATAATATAATTGTTGTTTGGGAAAGTACAATTTAGCGTTTAGTTGGGTTTAAACAATATAGCGTCAAATCAA